GTCGTCGTTAATTAGGTCGGCGACGACGTACCTCCTTACCTAGCCTTCGATATTCTCAACGAACGCGAAGCAATTCCGATTTGCCTGATAAACGGTGAACATTGGCCGGGGCCTGGCCAAAATTCTCCTAATTACGCGTTCGAGCGAGCCTACTCTACTTGGTAGGTAGTAAGGATCGATCCTAATTGATCCTTAAACCAATGGGTTTCATCATCGTGCCCACTATCGTGCTCGTAAATACCCGGACATTTTGGTCGATTTAATAGAACGGTGTACAACTCAGCGAATGGACGGATCGATGGTTGTTAAGTTGTATAAATTTGTCTAATATTTTATCTAGCTAGGTGTGCAAATTAGGATTATTATTTGCGACGAATTCTTGAACGAATGAAATTGTCGAATGAAATTACATGCTACGTTATTATCGAATATTGTGTATATGATTCTTAATTGATGTTACTTAATCGACAATAATGTAACATTTAGATATTAAAAATATTTAAAATATTTAAAAAAAAAAGTAAAGATTCTCGCAAAGGAGAGACTCTATCGTATTCGAGGCATCATAAACGTAAACATTTGTTAAATTAACATAAGTGCATTCCCACAAGGCATTCACCGTGTTCGCGAGTAAAAAAAAAGGATGGAAGCGCGAGGTTCAAATATGGAAGGAAATACAAGAGTGAAATAACGACGACGACGGCGCGCCGCACACAGTGACAGGCGTCAAAGAAACGTCTAATGTTTTTACAGTTCCGTATCTTTTCTACTACCCAGTAGCTGACTTTTCTTTTCTCTCTCTCTTTCTTTCTTTTTTTCTCCTTTCTCTTTCCGCCCCTCCATCCCCCGTGCCTTTTCACTCTCCCGCTCGTTATCGAGCCTTCTTATCTCTCTTTCATTCTCTCCTCCGTCGTCTTCACACTTATCACGGTTTTCTTCCCTTTTCCCTTTCACCGGCGACGCCACGCCATTTACATCACCATTCACATCCGCCCTGCCCTTCTTTCTTATCGTCCTCTCCCTTTCTGTCTCCTTTAATAACCACTCGCGTGCGCTATCTCCCTCGGACAACAGCCACGGCCACAGCCGCGCGATTTCTACCCTCTTTCTTCATCTCTTCCTTTTCTTCGACCGTCACGCCGACCACCACACCCTCCTTCGACCCTGGATTCAAACGAAAAGGCAACCCTTTGTCGATCCGCGAAAGAACCCACACCGGCTGCAACGTAACAAGCGATTTCCAGCCTGATGGGAAAATATTTGCTTTCGGAGGGACAGGCACTCCACGAGGAAAACACCCCCTGGAGGGGGTTTTAAATACAGTCCAGCCTCTACCAGCGAGTTCGATCATATACAGATCGTTTCTGCTCGACCAATCAACTTGCGTCGTGCAACGCTTTTGCGAGGTTATCATCCAGGTTGGTAGATTTTAATAGCAAGTCTGGGATTTTTGATCGATTTGGGATTTTAAACACTCAGACCCAGGTTGGAAGTGTCGGCTTGTAT